ATGGCTAAAATTAACAAGTCAGGAAACGACAAACGTTGGCGGGGATGCGGAGAAAGGGGAACCCTCCTACACTGTTGGTGGGAACGCAAGCTGGTGCAGCCACTCTGGAAAACGGTATGGAGGTTCCTCAAACAGTTGAAAATAGCGCTACCATACAATCCAGCAATTGCACTACTGGGTATTTACCACAAAGATACAAATGTAGGGATCCGAAGGGGTATGTGCACCCCAATGTTCATAGCAGCAATGTCCACAATAGCCAAACTGTGGAAAGAGCCAAGATGTCCATCGACAGATGAATGGATAAAGAAGATGTGGTATATACACACAATGGAGTATTATGCAGACATCAAAGGGAATGAGATCTTGCTATTTGCAACGATGTGGATGGAACTAGAGGGTATTATGTTAAGTGAAATAAGTCAATCAGAGAAAGACATGTATCATCTGATCCACTAATATGAGGAATTCTTAATCTCAGGAAACAAACTGAGGGTTGCTGGAGTGGTGGGGGTGGGAGGGATGCGGTGGCTGGGTGATAGACATTGGGGAGGCTGTGTGCTATGGTGAGCGCTGTGAATTGTGCAAGACTGTTGAATCACAGATCTGTACCTCTGAACCAAGTAATACATTATATGTTAAAAAAAAAAAGAAGAAAAAGAAAATAGGAGGGGGAAAAATGAAGGAGGGGAATCGGAGGGGGAGACGAACCATGAGAGACGATGGACTCTGAAAAACAAACGGAGGGTTCTAGAGGGAAGGGGGTGGGGGGATGGGTTAGCCTGGTGATGGGTATTAAAGAGGGCACGTTCTGCATGGAGCACTGGGTGTTATACGCAAATAATGAATCACGGAACACTACATCAAAAACTAATGATGTAATGTATGGTGATATAACATAATAATAAAAAATAAAAATAAAATTTAACAAAACCTGCTTGAAATTGCCCTTACACTATAATTCACAATTTAATGCAAGCAAACAAAATTAAAATGCAAAGGTGATTTCAATGCTATAGCAAATGAATATTCATCATTGTCACAATAATGATGTCTTTCTTTATTCAGGTATTTTGTGATAACGGAGATATCCACCTCATTTTTAAGTAGGCAAGATAAAGATGCATACAAATTACCACCTTCCTTTCTACCTAAACAAAGGTAGGTCCTCAGTGAAACAAAAAGGTATCAAATGGCAAGGTTTCTGCATTAATGCTGAGGTATTTCTGGGACATAATACTCTTTAATTTCCATAAAAATGTTGCATTTTGTTCTGGTAGAAAATTAATCAGGAAAATTAACAAATAATATTTATTTTTGAAATTCAAACAATTGTGCATCAATTTCCTGAGTGACACAAAGAGTTATCTTCTTTGTTTTCTCCAATCAATTCTATACTGCATAAAGTTTATAAATTGGTAAAATAGGAGAGAAAATTAAAGGCCAAAACCCAAAAATCTATGAGATGAATAAACTCTGGAACTAAAATGTATTTCATTTCAATAAAATATTGCATTGCTCACCAAAGATGCCATAGTGAATCCAATCACTTCAATATAACCATCATCATGACGCTGAGGTTCAAAATCATGGTGATCTCCTGGGTTCCCCCAGGGCATTGTGCCAGCACAATATCTGCAAGACAAGATTAAAAACAGAATTAAATTTATTCCATCACTCTCCCAATTGTCATAAGGTATTACCTTACAGTGAGATCCCACACGTATCTCACCTAAGATCAGTTTTCTATTCTTGGTGCGCACCTTCTGATAGAAAAGAAAATGGTCTTATCATTTCCAAATACCCATCTGTGAAAATGGGCCACAATTTTATAACACAAGCGTCTCTTGGTGCCCAACTATCCCCTAAGTCATTATTTGTTAACACTTCTCACTCAGTGATCCATTATGTCTGTTTTCTATGACATGCCCTAAGTTACCCATAGGCGGTTCCAGCATTTGGTCTTGGAGGAAGACGTTGCATCCCAGCAGAAAAGGGCCAAGAAACCGAGGTGGGTACACAGTGGTCATTATGTGCATAACTAAGATAATAAATAACCACCAGGAAGGTAAGCAGAGAAAGCTGAGGAAGAGTGAGAAAGCTATGAGGAAAAGGTAAGAGATGAAGAGAAAGAAGGAAAGGAAATTGGAAAAGGAATGGAGAGACGGGGAGCAAGAAGAACAACAGAGGGGAAAAAATTAAAGAAGCTAATGTTTCCTGAGAAAAGAATGTTTCCCGAGAATCTAGGTCTTTTATGGAAATAATGAAGATGAAAATCCTTCAGGAATAGGATTGTAGGTGACTACCCTGAGTACTGCCAAAAGTAATCAGGAGACTATGTTTTCCTAGCCATAGATTTACATACAATTCTCATTTCAATTAAATGCAGTCTAAATAGAACCTATCTGCAGATTTTGTGTCTTGAGTCGTGTGGTTTGCAAGTAACAAAGGGTCATAGATTCATCCCCTCCAAAATCTTGGCTTGGGAGCCCAGACTCTAATTTTGTACCACTGAGATAATGTGCTTATTTTGAGTCTAGTTAATCTTAAATATCCCTTTCTCCTGAGGAACATAATGGCACCAAAGAGAGTTGACATCCTGGCTAGAAAATACTACTCTAATTGAGCCTATTTTTTCAAAGCAATCATCTAGCAACAATTTTGAATGAGTTCCATGCTAAAATCAGGTTGGATGGTTTCCTAACAGCTTTTGGGAAACTGAGAACAGGGATTTACTCAAGTCTATTATTCTTGGGAGGGAGAGGGAATCAGTAAATGAGAATTATATTAAAATGTTCCAGTAAATAGGGGCGGCTGGGTTTCTTAACGATGGATAAGTGTATACCACGCACGCCACATTGGATAAAAACCACCCACCCACCACCCGGAACACTAAACAAACTGAGGAGGAGAACAAAATGATCAGACCTGGAAACCCCTAACGAGCCAGTAAGATAACTTACTTTCACTGTTTGTACCCTGGACATTTTCTATAATGAAACCCGATAACCTCAAGTCAAACGGAGTTCACATCAAACCAAAGAAAAAGGATGAACAGAGCTTACCTGGGTATATTTAAAAATACTATACACTGGAACTTCAGTTCCTGAATCTTTGGAGTGAGATCTGTTCCATCACACTGCAACAATCAAAGTAGAAAAAGGGTTTTGAAGTAGTCACAAGTCTAATATATATTATGCATTATGCATATATATAATATATAATATATATCCTGGTCTTCCCCTTGCCCTCAACTCGCTTAAGTGAATGCCTTATGACTGAAAATGCATTCTGATTATAACTTTAGCAGACCCAGGGTTCAGAGCATGGTTTTGTTTTGGTATAAAAACAAAGCTGCCATTTGACCAAAATAGTTTTTCTCTGGCTTTATAAGCAAAGGAACTGCCATCATTCTTAACCTTGGAATATTAGATATTTTAACTTGTAGTATCAACCTTAAAAGATTTATGAACATTTAAAGGAATAAAAAGTTCAGGCAGTAGGGATCTCCACCACAGTTATCTGGGATAGTTATTTGCTTTCTGAGATCAATTTTTATTTTGAAAACACCAAACATAACATTTTGAAAACGGTTTAAGAGGACTATATATTGCAAGCTTTTAAAAAACTATCATAAATCAGTGGTATCTCCATTAGGGATTTGCTCTTACACATTTAATGTCTTACAGACGTTGACTGGTCCTCTGAGATAAACTGCTTTCCTGGACCTGGACGTGACCCTGGGTGTCTCAAGGGCCTCAGTCTGGCCTGGCCTCAATACCTCTGTACGGAGCTTCCCTCACCGGTTAGCACTTCCCTTGAGCATACTCTGACTAATCAAAGAAAAGGCTTTCATTTCCCTTTCTCATTTCCCACTGGTGACAAAAGTCAAAAGAAGAAAACTCTAGTCATGACTATAGACTTCTCAATGTCAAAGGTGTACTTTTGTATTTGCTCTCCCCAAACCCTCACCACAGAATTCCCCGTTATCTTCTCTTCTGGTGAGCGGAGTAATGCATTTCCAAGCTTCCTGCGAATTTTTAAAGACTTCTTTAAAAAGAGTGTTCAGGCTAAGAACAGTGAGTCTCGTTGTTTTCCCAGCTCATCTTAATGAAGTCTAATTTTCATGAGTATGCTCCAAAAATGTTTCCAGGAAATAATATAGCCCCAAATAAACAAATTACTTTAAAATGTTACACAGAAAGGAATCAAATTCTACATATTGATTGAAGGTGTTTTTACAATATCCTCAGACACTAAGAAAACATGCAGTCTCCCAATTTAAGCACTTGGAATGAGTTGATGGATGACTATACCAAGGAAAATATCTTAAATTACCAAAATTGAGTGTTGTAACTAAAACTTTAAAAATAGGATGTGATATATGAAGAGCATACAAAGCAGTACTGTTTACCTTACAAAAAAAGAAACTATAAAATTATTGTATTTAGAACAGAAATCTTTTTAAATTTTCTACTTTTTCTTCCTAGGAAACATGTCAGTGATTCTGGGAATTTATCAAATTATAAAAGAGTGCAATACACCATGTATCATGCTTCACAGAGTTTTCTTACATATTACTGCCTTTAAATTTTGTATGTCTTTAGAACAGCACCTGGGTGGCTCAGATGGTTAAACAACTGCCTTTGGCTCAGGTCATGATCTCAGGGTCCTGGGATGGAGCCCTGAGTCAGGCTCCCCGCTCAGCTGCGAGTCTGCTTCTCCCTCTGCCTCCTCCCCCCTGCTCCTGCTCTCTCTCTCTCAAATAAATAAATAAAATCTGGGAAAGAAAGAACAGCAGCTTTTAACCTTTCTCCTATTTCAAACACATGAAGGAAAATATCTGCACATAAAATATGTTCCTATACACAAGCTCATGTATTAACAAATAAAAAGAAGAAGAAAACATGGGAAGGAGGAAAAATAATGCTGTACAAAGGATTTTGTTATTGTCCTATGCTTTTCTGATGTAGTATTCATACAAACTACGTTTATGTGAGAGATTAACTACTACCTCAGAAACACTGACTTCACACTGTGGCAAAAATGAGATGGTCTGTTGTTACCTATACATTGAATTGCTCTAGCTAATCTACTGTCCATTTCATCTCTCACTCAAAAAACATACAGTGATGTCCTTATAGAAATATCCTGTGTCCCTGCGTGACACATCACAATGGTCTGTAATTGTGGTTTCAAAGACATGTCTTATTATGCCTGTTTTAAATGAGGAAAGTAAACTCTTCTGAAAGGTTACATGATACCCCCAAAGTCATATACCTCATAAAGGTAGACCTAGGAATGAATCCTAAATATTTAGATTTTATTTCTAATGTTTTTTTTCTCATCACACACACATGCACACACAATAGGATTACACAAACCAATTCACCTGAAATCTTGCCTGTATTGGCTGATACCAAGTCTTTCCTAGTTGTCTGGCAGCCATTTTGGCCTCTTTGCATTTGGATTATTAGATATTTTGACTTGTAGTATCAACCTTTTTTTTTTATTATGTTAAGTTAATCACCATACATTACATCATTTTTTAAAATTTTTATTGTTATGTTAATCACCATACATCATTAGTTTTTGATGTAGTGTTCCATGACTCATTGTTTGTGCATAACACCCAGTGCTCTACGCAGAACATGCCCTCTTTAATACCCATCACCAGGCTAACCCATCCCCCCACCCCCCTCCTCTCTAGAACCCTCAGTTTGTTGTTCAGAGTCCATCGTCTCTCATGGTTGGTCTTCCCCTCTGATTTCCCCCCTTCATTCTTCCCCTCCTGCTATCTTCTTCTTTTTTTTTCTTAACATACATTGCATTGTTTCAGAAGTACAGATCTGTGATTCAACAGTCTTGCACAATTCACAGCACTCGCCATAGCACATACCCTCCCCAATGTCTATCACCCAGCCACCCCCACCCTCCCCCCCCCCCCCACCACTCCAGCAACCCTCAGTTTGTTTCCTGAGATTAAGAATTCCTCATATCAGTGAAGTCATATGATACATGTCTTTCTCTGATTGACTTATTTCGCTCAGCGTAACACCCTCCAGTTCCATCCATGTTGTTGCAAATGGCAAGATCTCCTTCCTTTTGATGGCTGCATAATATTCTATTGTGTTTATATACCACATCTTCTTTATCCATTCATCACTCAATGGACATCTTGGCTCTTTCCACAGTTTGGCTATTGTGGACATTGCTGCTATGAACATTGGGGTGCACGTACTCCTTCGGATCCCTACATTTGTATCTTTGTGGTAAATACCCAGTAGTGCAATTGCTGGATCGTAGGGTAGCGCTATTTTCAACTGTTTGAGGAACCTCCATACTGTTTTCCAGAATGGTTGCACCAGCTTGCGTTCCCACCAACAGTGTAGGAGGGTTCCCCTTTCTCCGCATCCCCGCCAGCATCTGTCGTTTCCTGACTTGTTAATTTTAGCCATTCTGACTGGTGTGAGGTGGTATCTCATTGAGGTTTTGATTTAGATTTCCTGGACGCCGAGCGATGTTGAGCACTTTTTCAACATCATCAGTTTTTGATGTAGTGTTCCATGATTCATTGTTTGCATATAACACCCAGTGCTCCATGCAGAACGTGCCCTCTGTAATACCCATCACCAGGCTAACCCAACCCCCCACCTCCCTCCCCTCTAGAACCCTCAGTTTGTTTCTCAGAGTCCATAGTCTCTCGTGGGTATCAACCTTCTTTTAATCCCTGCTATATAGCCACCCATGAGTGAGATATTCATCATCGGGGGACTGCTAGATGCAGGAGATAAGTTGTTAGGGAGTATACAGAGGTTAATTTCACTGCAGCTGATCTGAACAGTAAATGCCATTCAACATGGCATTGACCCCTGAGCAGGTGCCACCACCATTCCTCTCAATGTGAAAAATACTGGAAAAGTAGGGCAAGTTTATTTTTGGTTGGGTTGCCAGCAGCTGAAGAAACAGGGAGGTTGCTGTTACTTTAATAGGCATAATTTTATCAATAAAAGACCTTCATAGTTCAGGGGACCACTGTCTTTCTTGCCTCCAGCTGTAAGAAAGCAGTACTTGTGCTTTCAAGAGTCTCTATTACTAAAAGATGCTTGTTTTCACTGCAATTGTATGAGACCTGAACTACCTGAAAGCGATGCCAAGGGTTATTGACACCGGTGGTAAGGGCCTCTGTCTCTTCTTTCAGCTGAGTCAGGAGATTGATGTCTCACATGTGCTTTACTAATTGGTGATTACACATTTTTCTTACTGAAGTATACTTCACATACAGTGTTATTAGTTTCAGATGTACAATGTGATGATTCAATATCTCTGTACATTACTCAGTTCGCACCCAGTGAAGTCATCATCCGTCTCCAAATACCATTTTTATAATCTTACTGACTATATTCCCTATGTTGTCCTTTTCATGTCCATGACTTATTTATTTTTTAACTGGAAGTTTGTACCTCTTAGGCCCCTTTATTTCGCCCATCTCCCCACCTACTTCCCCTCTGGTAACCTCCTATTCAGTCTCTGTATTTAAGTCTTTTGTTTGTTGTTTTTCTTCATTGTTCATTTGTTTTCTTAAATTCTACATAGGACTGAAATCATATGGTTTCTGACAGACTTATTTCAGTTAGCTTTGTACCTTCTAGGTCCATCCATGTTGTTGCAAATGGCAAGATTTCATTCTTTTTAATGGCTGAGTAATATTCCATTGTGTGTGTGTGCGTGTGTATGTATGTACACACACACGTATACATACATACATATATGTATACCCCATCTTCTTTATCCATTCATTTATCAATGCACACTTGGGTTGCTTTCATATCTTGGCTATTGTAAATAATGCTACAATAAACATAGTGGTGCATATATCTTTTCAAATTAGAGTTTTCGTTTTCTTTGGGTAAATATCCAGTAGATCCAGAATTACTGGATCATATAGTATTTTTATTTTTAAATTTTTGAGGAAACTCCATACTGTTTTCCACAGTGGCTGTACCAATTTGGATTTCCACCAATAGTGTACAAGGATTCCTTTTTTCCTCCAAATCCTCACCAATACTTATTTCTTGTCTTTTTGATTCCAGTCATTTTGACAAGTGTGAGGTAATACCTCATTGTAGCTCTGATTTGCATTTCTCAGATGATTAATGATGTTAAGCATCTTTTCATGTGGCTGTTGGCCATCTGTACATCTTCTTTGGAAAAATGTCTATTCAAGTCCTCTGCTCATTTTTCAGTTGGATTTGTGTGTGTTGGGTAAATTCCTTACATATTTTGGATATTAACCCCTTATCAGATATATCATTTGCAAGTATCTTCTCTCATTCAGTAGGTTGCCTCTTTGTTTTGTTGATGGCTTCTTTCACTGTGTAAAAGCTTTTCATTTTGGTGTAGTCCCAGTTTATTTTTGCTTTTGTTTCCTTTGCCTCAAGAGACATATCTAGAAAAATGTTTCTATGGCCAATCTCAAAGAGATTACTGCCTATGTTTTCTTTCAGGAGTTTTATAGTTTCAGGTCTCATATTTAGGTCTTTAATCCATTTTGAGTTTATTTTTGTGTGTGGTGTAAGAAAGTGGTCTAGTCTCTTTTGTATGTAGCTGTCCAGTTTCTCCAGCACTACTGTTGAAGAGATAGTCCCGTCCCCATTGTATATTCTTGCCTCCTTTGTCATAGATTGACATATAAGCATGGGTTTATTTCTGGGCTCTCTATTCTGTTCCATGGATCTATGTGTCTATATTTTTTAATTTTTTTATTGTTATGTTAATCACCATACATCATTAGTTTTAGATGTAGTGTTCCATTGTTTGTGCATAACACCCAGTGCTCCACACAGAACGTGCCCTCTTTAATACCCATCACCAGGCTAACCCATCCTCCCACCCCCCTCCCCTCTAGAACCCTCAGTTTGTTTTTCAGAATCCATCGTCTCTCATCGTTGGTCTCCCCCTCCGATTTCCCCCCCTTCATTCTTCCCCTCCTGCCATCTTCTTCCTCTTTTTTTTCTTAACATATATTGCATTAGTTTCAGAGGTACAGATCTGTGATTCAACAGTCTTCCACAATTCACAGCATTCGCCATAGCACATACCCTCCCCAATGTCTATCACCCAGCCACTCCATCCCTCCCACCCCCCACCACTCCAGCAACCCTCAGTTTTTTCCTGAGATTAAGAATTCCTCATATCAGCGAGGTCATATGATACATGTCTTTCTCTGATCGACTTATTTCACTCAGCATAACACCCTCCAGTTCCATCCACGTCGTTGCAAATGGCAAGATCTCATTCCTTTTGATGGCTGCATAATATTCCATTGCGTATGTGTCTATTTTTGTGCCAGTTTGATATTGTTTTGATTACTGCAGCTTGGTAGCATATCTTAAAATATGGAATTGTGATAACCCCTTTTTTTTTTTCAAAAAAAAAAGATTTTATTTATTTGAGAGAGAGAGAGAGACAGAGGTGGCAAAGAGAGAACATGAGCTGGAGAGGAGGGGCAAAGGGAGAGGGAGAAGCAGACACCCCACTGAGCAGGGAGTCAGATGTGGGCTTAATTCCAAGACCCCTGGGATCATGACCTGAGCCGAAGGCAAATGCTTGACTGAATGAGCCACCCAGGAGCCCCTAGCTTTGCTCTTCTTTCTCAAGAAAGGCTATTTAGAGTTTTTTTGTGGTTCCACACAAATTTTAGTATTATTTGTTCTAGTTCTGTGAAAAATGCTGTTGGCATTTTGATAGGAATTGCATTAAATCCAAAGATTGCTTTGAGTAGTATGGACACTTTAAGAATATTGGTTCTTCCAGTCCATGAGCATGGAATATCTTTCCATTTGTGCCATCTTCAATTTCTTTCATCAGTGTTTTACAGTTTTCAGAGTGCAGGTCTTTCCTTTCCTTAGGTGCAGTCGTAAATGGAATTGTTTTCCTAATTTCTTTCTGCTACTTCATTAATGTATAGAAATGCAACTGATTTCTGTATATTAATTTTGTTTCCTGTGACTTTACTGAATTCATTAATCAGTTCTAGTAGTTTTTTTGTGTGTGGAATCTTTAGGGTTTTCTATATATTCATTATGATGTTATCTGCAAATAGTGACAGTTTTACTACTTCTTCACCAATATAAATGCCTTATTTTTTTTTTTTTTTGTCTGATTGCTGCAGCCAGGACTTCCTGTACTATGTTGAATAAAAGTGATGAGAATGGATATCCTTTTTTTGTTCCTGATCTTAGAGGAAAAGTTCTGTTTTCACCATTGAGTATGATGTTAGCTGTGGGTTTTTTTTGTATATGGCCTTCATTATGTTGAGGTGTGTTCCCTCTAAGCCTACTTGTTGAGAGTTTTTACCATAAAAGAATGTCGTACTTTATCAAATGCTTTTCCTGCATCTGTGAGATGATGTGATTTTTTCCATTTCTCTTGTTAATGTGATGTATCATGTTGATTGATTCATGAATACTGAACCAATCTAGCATCCCTGAAATAAATCCCACATGACTGTGAATATTTTTTTAATGTATTATTGAATTCAGTTTGCTAATATTTTGTTGAAGATTTTTGCATCTATGTTCATCAGAGATAGGAGCCTGTAGTTTTCTTTTTGTGTGGTGTCTTTGGTTTTGGTAACAGAGTAATGCTGGTCTCATAGAATGAATTTAGAAGCTTTCCTTCCTCAACTATTTTTTGGAATAGTCTGAGAATAGTATTAACTCTCCTTTAAAAGTTTGGAAGAATTCACACCCTGAAGCCATCTGGTCCTGAACTTATGTTTGTCAGGAGTTTGATTACTGATTTAATTTCATTGCCAATAATTGGTCTGTTCAAAGTTTCTCTCTTCCTAATTCAGTTTTAGAAGCTTATATGTCTCTAGGAAAGGATCCATTTCTTCTAGATTGTCCAATTTGTTGGCATATAATTTTTCATAATATTCTCTTAAAATCCTTTGTATTTCTGTGGTGTTGGTTATTATTCCTCCGCCTTCATTTCTGACTTTATTTATTTGAGTCTTCTCTCTTTTTGTCTTGATGAGTCTGGCTAAGGGTTTACCAATTTTGTTTATCTTTTCAAAGAATCAGCTCCTGGTTTTATTGATCTTTTCTATTACTTTTTTAGTCTCTATTTCATTTATTTCTGCTCTAATCTTTACTATATCCTTCCTTCTACTGGCTTTGGGCTTTGTTGTTCTTTTTTAGCTCCTTTAGGTGTAAGGTTAGGTTGCTTGAGATTTTTCTTGGTTTTTTTTTTTTTTTTGAGATAGGCTTGGCCTCAATTGCTATAAACTTCCCTCTTAGAACTGCTTTTGCTGCATGGTGATTACAAATTTTAATTTGTATCCCTCTCCTGCTCCTCTATACACCCATGTATATTTTTCTGTATTTCTGTCTTCTGATGTATTTCTGTTGTTCTGTCCCCTCTCATCACATATTCTATTCTTTATCTATGCTATGATAAGTTCAAGCATTTCTATATCACATTCCTTCTACATCATATTTTTTCTTTTTCTTTCTCCTTAGACTATTATGTACAATAGTCATGTTTGCTCCTTTTAACTTGGTTGCTATAAGGAAGCATTTTATATCTTTCTTAATAACTAATGATACGCTATTTTATTTTTTTAAATATTTATTTATTTATTTATTTATTTATTTATTTATTTATTTGAGAGAGAGAGAGAGAGAGAGAGAGAGAGAGAGAGAACAGGCATGCATGCAGAGGGGCAGAGGGGGAGGGAAAGGGGAAAGGGAGAGAATCCCAAGCAGATTCTGCCCTGGGTGCAGAGCCTGACTTGGAGCTCAGTCTCATGACCCTGAGATCATGACCTGAGCAGAAGCCAAAAGTCAGGTGCTTAACCAACTAAGCCACCCAGGTGCCCCGAAAGATATGCTATTTTAAAGTACAGCTCCTAGAGGAAAGGTAATATTCCCTCTCTCAGTGTGTGTCTAAAAACCTGGGATAGAAACCCCAGAAGAAATAGCACCAAAAACAAACAAACCATTCAGTGGTGAAGAAACCTGGCCAGCCTACAGAGTGAATCAGCACAAAAAAATAAAATTAATGCATTTTTCTAAAATGGAGAGTCCTCAAGTAGCCATGAAATAAAGATATTTGTTGGGTGAGCATCTATTTCTACGTCAAGACCCAGCTCATCACTTCTTTGATGTAAGTTTCCCTGAACCCACCACAGTCAGTTTCCATTTCCTTCTTTGTGCCACCACCATACAGTGTACATAGTCAACAATATTAACTACAGTGTTATGCAATGACTTACATGCCTGTCTCTGCGATTCAACTGTGAGTTCCTTCAGGAATGAAACTAGCTCTCTGTCCATCCCCAGCAACTAAGACAGTTGCCAATACAGGTCTATATTCTCAGAAATGTTGGCTGAATGAACTACATTAAATGATCTCTGGAATTAATGCAACCCATTGATTAATCTGAGTACATAAACTGGTATTTGGTGTATGGTTTTTGCAGCATATACATATTTATATTCAAATGAACTGAGTCAACACGTTCAATACTCACAACAACTTTAACATGTTTGGATAGATCTCTAGAACTTCTCTGTAGGAAATCAGAAAAAGCCGCCTATACCACAAGGAAATAAAGGGAGAAAAACCAAACTTAATCACATGGTTATGCCAAATCCTTGCTTCCATATTATAAATAGTTCCTAATGCTTCTAAATTATTCAAAATATAAAGAATTTCTTTTCTTGCTAACTGCAAAGCAAAATGCAGTGCCTGTCAAGTTGAAAACTCTCTTTGTTTTCAAACTATAACCTATAATAAAATTTAAGAACACAGTAGAAAAGTTAAAAAGTAGGTAATTCCAAGGGTCAGTTGGAAGATTTATTCTGATGACCTTTCCTGACCTCCTACTTGACCATGGGGTGCTGATATCATCTTTAACTTGCCACTAAGAATGTCTTGCTTCACCTCTCCCCTTTTATTTCAGTTCTCTCTATCCAGTGGTCTAAATTTAAACTACACTTTTTTTAAATCAGTAATTTGGAGGCCTTTCTACATACCTCCCCCCTTTTAATAGCCATTCATCCCCAGGGATGTCCCTAAGGAGAAGGAAAAAAACACCTCCTTTACTCACATATATGCTTCCACAAGAAACTGCCCATCCTCTGCCAATTTCTCCTCCAAACACTGATGCGTATGTACTCCTGTACAAACCACATTCTTACCCAAGACTTTCCATACATCTTTCAGTCTGCCTAACTCCCCCATTCTCTAGATTGCCTTTGATGTTTCTCTTATCACTCCTTGAATACCATCCCCTCCGTACGACAGGAAGCCTTAAAGCTTTAAAGTTCAAAGATGATGAACACCAGCTCCCTTTCTACCAACTTAAATACCTCTTAATTGTAAACCAAGACATTAAACTGTAATCATACATAGAAATATTTAGAAACATCTGAGATGGATAATGATTTTTCATATAGTTAGTATCCTTATTACCACTGAGTAATTAGTATTTAATTAGTATTAAATAATACATAATAATTATAAAATAGAACATATACTTACTCCTGCATAGAACATTTTATTTCGAAAACGACTGTTGAATTTCTCAGGATTTGCTTCTGTGAAAGGAAACAGGTAGTTTTGTTATGGAGACCTCATTAAAGGTAGTGACTTCCATTAACACTCTTCCCCCTCCCTCCCCATCCCACAGATCCAATAGAGTCAACAGCCTTATTATCATCTTTCCCTTAGTTACAGGCCAGTTGGTATAGTTGTCCAGTGCTACAAAAGTGTAGCCCCAAAATGGCAGCATCAGCATCAACTGGAAGTTTGTTAGAAATGCAAATTATTAGCTCTATTCCAGACCTGCTGAATTATAATGTTTAGGGGGTGGTGTCTAGGAATCATGATTTAACAAGCTCTCCAGGTGATTAACATTAAAAGTTGAGACACTCTGGACTCTATTCAGAATAGAGGGCTGGCAGGGATCCAAGGCAAAGGTGACAGGACAAAGGAGGGTGATGAGGGGTGATTATCTGCTTTGACCTCCATCGGGCACATCTCCTGTAAACTATATATGGAGCTTCCAAATGTAATTAAATATGGGAAATTTGGATAAAAATTAATAGAGAATTTGCTTTCACATTTTACCAAACCTCCTAACTACTATCTGTGCTTTTGTTGGTAACAGGCCTTAAAAAATTGATTTATTGGATTATTTGTTCTTTGGGTGTTGAGTCTGATAAGTTCTTTATAGATTTTGGATACTAGCCCTTTATCTGATATGTCATTTGCAAATATTTTCTCCCATTCTGTCGGTTGTCTTTTGGTAGAAATTCAAATGGCCAACAGACACATGAAAAAGTGCTCAACATCACTCGGCATCAGGGAAATCCAAATCAAAACCTCAATGAGATACCACCTCACACCAGTCAAAATGGCTAAAATTAACAAGTCAGGAAACAACAGATGTTGGCAGGGATGCGGAGAAAGGGGAACCCTCCTACACTGCTGGTGGGAATGCAAGCTGGTGCAACCACTCTGGAAAACAGTATGGAGGTTCCTCAAACAGTTGAAAATAGAGCTACCATACGATCTAGCAATTGCACTACTGGGTATTTACCACAAAGATACAAAGGTAGGGATCCGAAGGGGTACGTGCACCCCAATGTTTATAGCAGCAATGTCCACAATAGCCAAACTGTGGAAAGAGCCAAGATGTCCACTGACTGATGAATGGATAAAGAAGATGTGGTATATATACACAATAGAATATTATGCAGCCATCAAAAGGAATGAGATCTTGCCATTTGCAACGACGTGGATGGAACTGGAGGGTGTTATGCTGAGTGAAATAAGTCAATCAGAGAAAGACATGTATCATATGACCTCACTGATATGAGGAATTCTTAATCTCAGGAAACAAACTAAGGGTTGCTGGAGTGGTGGGGGGTGGGAGGGATGGGGTGGCTGGGTGATAGACATTGGGGCGTGTATGTGCTACGGTGAGCACTGTGAATTGTACAAGACTGATGAATCACGGATCTGTACTTCTGAAACAAATAATGCAATATATGTTAAGAAAAAAAAAAGAAGAAGAAGAAGATGGCAGGAGGGGAAGAATGAAGGGGACTAAGTCGGAGGGGGAGACGAACCATGAGAGACGATGGACTCTGAAAAATAAACTGCGGGTTCTAGAGGGGAGGGGGTGGGGGGATGTGTTAGCCTGGTGATGGGTATTAAAGAGGGCACATTCTGTTTGGAGCACTGGGTGTTATGCACAAACAATGTATCATGGAACACTACATCAAAAACGAATGATGTAATGTATGGTGATTAACATAACAATAAAAAAATTTTTTAAAAATGATTTACTGGAGATACATAAATATACATATATGCAGGTGAAGTGCTAAATGGACTCAGGGCATATGACAGCAAAGGCTGTGGGTGAAAAATGGTTTGAGTATGGTCCTGTTTGTTATATAGGTTGAAGACCACAAAAAAGGTTAAACAAGAATCTGCATCAGAGAATGTTCACACAAATATAAGGGATTATAAAATCCCTAAGTGAAAAATTACTTCCTTACATTCTTCCTAATAGAATTCCAAGACATTCCAATGGGACCGTCAATGTTTTGCCTTCTGCTATTTTATCCCGTATGCTCATTAATCCCCTCTTAGGGCAAGGTCTCTCTTCAAATTGTTTCTCAACAGACAGCTGGATGACTAGCTGAAACTGTTCAAGTCCTGGCCCTATGTTTGAATGGCAAATCTCAACAATTGTCTAGATGAAGAAAAGTAGCAAAGAGCTCCCTCACTAAGATGCCGCAGAGTAAGAGCTACACAATCTCAGGGAATAATCCTAGACCTAGGATCGTTAGATTATTTTCATGATTATTAGAATATAATATTAGCGCATAACATGGAAACTGGGTGAAAGCTTGCAAACTTAAAAAAATAAGGTCGTATGTTGTAATTTGACTTGAGAGTTTTTACATATTTAAGTTTCTGTATCTCATACCTCTCCTTAAACATTCCCTCTGTTCTATTGAATTAAGTACTCTGAACCCTAGAAACAAAATCAAACAAAAGTTAAATGTTAATTTATAGGCTAGACTAAAAAAAAAAAAGGTGATAAAAGTGGTACTTAGTGCTCTATCTCCCTGGTCCCCATTTATGGACCCAAAATTCACCATTTTTACAGTATGGGCCTTTAGGATAAATTTGGCTGCTAAGTAACATTTTTTGTTTGTTGTTTTTTAACCTTTCTTAACCCAAATTTGGCTGGGTACCATTTTCAGTTGCATTAACTCTTGCTTTATGGAACCAGAGGAAAAATTAGAATTTCTGTTGCTATGCAATTTATCATGGGTACATAATCCCTATTTAAAAAAGAATGAAAGAAAGAAGGTCAGATTTTGCTATTGGGCAAGTTATAATAAAAAAGTGGAAAATGGCACCCACAGTTCTGGCATAGAACTTTTTCAGGGCACTAACATCTGTAGCTATCAAGTGAATCATGCATCAACTATTAACATGTACTTTTTAGAACATTACTTTATGGTTTGGAAAAGATTCACATTCTTAAGGGGTTTTCCTATGAGCCTAAGGTTTTGTTTTTTTTTTTCCCCTTTAAAGAAATAGTTTTCTCTCAAGAGATCGAAAATGTTTTGTAAGAACCAAAAGAGTAGAATAAAATAAATAAACTGAGTTTTTGGTGATTTTACTGACACAGCTGATGAAAACAGTCACTTCAGATGTAATTTAACTAGATAAAATTCAATTAATAAAACTAAACAAGATTAAGACACTAGCATTTAGAGAGGTGTCAGAAAGATAACAATGTAGGAGAGTCACACATATTCCTTAGCCCTGAAAACAGAAAAGATGGAGGTAAATTCTGTTATCTCTGCTAATACTATAATGGTATTATACTCCTGACTCCCTGATTAAGGCTGCCTTGATGATTAAACACTTTTTCCATTTTAATATCTACCCTACTCCAAAGAGCCTCAGAAACAAAGGTTGACTGGAGCTGAGAGAGATGTTGGGTAGTATTAGAGCTTCCCTACTCCCAGCAGACGCCAGTCCCTAAGAAAGCAAGGGACAGTCTGCAAATAATAGTACTTAATCATTCCTTATTGGCTTTTAAAATGTTGAGTGGCTGAATATGTCTTTGTGTATGTATAAGAACTGACAGGTCTTTTTTCTTTAATTTTTTATTGTTATGTTAATCACCAGACATCACATCATTAGTTTTTGATGTAGTGTTCCATGATTCATTGTTTGTGCATAACACCCAGTGCTCCATGCAGAACGAGCCCTCCCCAATACCCATCACCAGGCTAACCCATCCTCCCACCCCCCTCCCCTCTAGAACCCTCAGTTTGTTTTTCAGAGTCCATCATCTCTCATGGTTCGTCTCCCCTTCTGATTTCCCCCCCTTCATTCGTCCCCTCCTGCTATCTTCTTCTTTTTTTGTTCTTAACATATATTGCATTATTTGTTTCAGAGGTACAGATCTGTGATTCAACAGTTTTCCATAATTCACAGTGCTCAACATAGCACATACCCTCCCCAATGTCTATCACCCAGCCACCCCAACCCTCCCACCCCCCCACCACTCCAGCAACCCTCAGTTTTTTCCTGAGATTAAGAATTCCTCATATCAGTGAAGCCATATGATACATGTCTTTCTCTGATTGACTTATTTCACTTAACATAATACCCTCTAGTTCCATCCACATCGTTGCAAATAGCAAGATCTCATTCCCTTTGATGTCTGCATAATACTCCATTGTGTGTATATACCACATCTTCTTTATCCATTCATCTGTCGATGGACATCTTGGCTCTTTCCACAGTTTGGCTATTGTGGACATTGCTGCTATAAACATTGGGGTGCATGTACCCCTTCGGATCCCTACATTTGTATCTTTCTGGTAAATACCCAGTAGTGCAATTGCTGGATCGTATGGTAGCGCTATTTTCAACTGTTTGAGGAACCTCCATACTGTTTTCCAGAGTGGCTGCACCAGCTTGCGTTCCCACCAACAGTGTAGGAGGATTCCCCTTTCTCCACATCCCCGCCAACGTTTGTCGTTTCCTGACTTGTTAATTTTAGCCATTCTGACTGGTGTGAGGTGGTATCTCATTGAGGTTTTGATTTGGATTTCCCTGATGCCGAGCGATGTGGAGCACTTTTTCGTGTGTCTGTTGGCCATTTGGATGTCTTCTTTGGGAAACTGTCTGTTCATGTCTTCTGCCCATTTCTTGACTGGATCATTTGTTCTTTGGGTGTTGAGTTTAAGAAGTTCTTTGTAGATTTTGGATACTAGCCCTTTATCTGATATGTCATTTGCAAATATGTTCTCCCATTCTGTCAGTTGTCTTTTGGTTTTGTGGACTGTTTCTTTTGCTGTGCAAAGCTTTTTATCTTGATGAGGTCCCAATAGTTCATTTTTGCCCTTGCTTCCCTCGCCTTTGGCGATGTTTCTAGGAAGAAGTTGCTGTGGCTGAGGTCGAAGGGGTTGCTGCCTGTGTTCTCCTTTAGGATTTTGATGGACTCCTGTCTCACGTTTAGGTCTTCCCCCATTTTGAGTCTATTTTTATGTGT